AAGTGGATATATTTGGAATTTTGAAATTTATTGCGGAAAATCAAGACCTATAAAAGAATTAGTTGTCGATCTGTTGGGGCCACAGCTTCTAGCAGGACAACTATTACAATAGTGTAGAATTGTGTGAGACGTTATTACAGAGAAATACCTATGTGTGTGGAACCTTCAGAATGGACAGAGGAGCTCCCAAAGAACTAAAGAATGATGTAAAAATTTTAAAAAAAGGGGAATCTGTGTTTTCTAGGAAAGGGCAGGTTCTCGTACAGGTGTGGAGAGATAAAAGAGACGTCAAACTTATCTCCACTCTTCACACAGCAAAAATCGTGGAATCTGCAAAAATGAATCGCAAAGGAGGAAAAATATGCAGACCCAAGGTAATTGGGGACTCCAATAAACATATGAGAGGGCTTAACAGGGCTGATCAAATGCTCCGTTATTATCCTTGCTCCCGCAAAACTGTAAAGTGGACAAAGAAACTGGTGTTTTTCTTGTTGCAAATGGCAGCGTTGAATAGTTTCATTCTATTCAAAAAGTACACAACAACAGAAAAATACAAGAAGAGAAATTACAAATTCAAAGATTTTATATTGGACTGTGTAGAAAAAATGACAGAACAAAACAAACAGTGTGGAGAGGGAGAACAGTCAAGGAATGAAGTGGATGACGAATCTATTGCGTCAGACTCGAGTGCAGTCACGCCTCCGCCCCTTGAGAAGACCACCAGTGAAAGACCCAGAAAATCGTCTAGAGGGTGGCTTCAAAGTTCACAAAATGGGACATGTTCCTCCCAGTAACAATAAGAAGAATGGTGCCATGAGAAAGTGTCGAGTGTGTGCTAAGCATAAGATCAGAAAAGAAACAAGTGTCATGTGTGCAAGCTGTGGTGTGGCTCTCTGCAAACTTTCATGTTTCAATGTTTATCACACGAAGAAAAACTACTAAAAAGGTATGGAAAGAATTTATTGCATAAAATATTGTATTTTTAGTAGTTCCTGAAAATTTCATTTTTAAAAACCAATTTTTGTTGAAGTTGTTTAGAAAAAAGTAAGCACATGCATCTTAGCGACATAATGTTTAAAGGGCCTGCCAGGACAGGGGTGGGATTTAAATACCCTTCGCGCCAGTCAAAGAGTTAATATTAGTTAAATGATATAACATATATATCTATGACATGTAACAGTAGTTTCCATAAGTGTTGATAATATCCTTCTGAAGATGGTCGTTTTGACTGAAACATGTAAAGTATGAAACATTAGAAACAACTTTTATCAGTCACACTGGACGGTGGTCACAAATCTTATATGCGGTTATAAAAGTCTTGTTTAATTCACATGCAGATGATCAAGAGTCTTCTGTAGGTATACAAAAACTCGAAAGACACATAGACTCGGCCAGTAATATCAGGTCATGAAAATGTGTAAGACTGATCTTAAGGCATCTTCTTGGGGGTGGTGATAATGATTTTAACCCAAATTAATATATAAGTCAATGCTGAACATTATCTGAAATCTGAATTGTAATCCTGATGTGTTACTAATCTTCACTTAAGAATGTACACAGACAGACTACAGGTGTTCCCAAACTTACATTTTTCTCGATATCAGTAATGTATAACTGTAAGTTGATGTCAGTCACATATATTCCAGCCACCTAATTATTTAAGACAGTTTCTTATGTTTTAGTCTTTGTTAATAGAAAGTAACTTGAAATCACATTATTACAAAAGTTGTTACATTTGTGTATTTCTTCATGAAATAGGGATTATAATTTAAAACATGTACACCTACTCCATAAGGTGCATGAGGAATAAGTTGTTCAGTTAGTTTGCTTACTTGCAAGGTTGGAATTATGTATGGAGTTGATTTCAGTTTGTAACATTCTCACTCAGAGCAGTCTGCTTGTGGTAATTGATGGTCATTACTATCCATCCTTACGATAGGTAATTAATTTTTCAGTAAATGGTTTTCAAACAAAAGGTATAACACTGAAACTGAATATTTTGCTTGCTTAAGTTTCATGATATGTCTGTATGCACTCAGAGTTTCACTGTAAACTTGAGGTGGCCATGTGCAGTTGGAGCCCAGGCAGGGCCACTGAAGCGTCAGGCCGATAGCTTTAAATGGTTGCAATGGTAGACTTGCCATTTATTATTAATTTGTACAGACTCACTACTGTGATGAAGACTTGCTCAAACCACGCTCTGAGAATTGATTTCATTATGTAATTCATCTGCACTGATCACAGTTCAGTTTAATCAGTACAGCACAATTACTGTATGGTTGTAGTGTGTCAGTATTTCTTGTTCATAAATAGAAGTACAGTCCTCTACAAGCACCAGTGTTACATGCGAGATTTGAGATATTCAGGGCAGTGATCATGAGGAAGTTGAAAGTGACACTGTGTAGGTGGGTAGGAGTCCACCAACATTTTGGAGGAACATACTGCCACCTTCGTAAGGGTAGAGTTCTACTACATACATTCTGTCACATCCTGACTTTTCCACAATATTATTGAGGACAAGTCTTCTCAAATGTAATGCTCTATAAAATGTTTTAACGAACACTGCAGACAAATATACTTTCTCCATCTTCAGGATGGAAAATTGAAGCTGAAGGCATTGTGTACCTCTGAAATGTCATTAAACTTCTACCAACCTACACAGTATCATATCCCATATCATCAGCCAAATGAAAGTGCTGTTTGTGGATGACCTGATTTCATATTGTGACTTCAAACATCTGTACCTACATAATCTAAATGTCTGATATCTAGAGTCATCCTAAAGATGGAGGTGCACATTCCACCAAAACGTTAGTATCCACCTGCCAGACTACGACACAGTGTTATAGCACACAATGTCCCCACCAAGGAACTTGATGATTATACAGCTTTCCAGTTTTGTCAGGAAAGTTACATCAAGGACTTGTAGCTGAGATGGGAGAACACAAATACTTTTCTTTTCATAAATCCTGTTATATTATTATATACAATTATTTATTGGAGTCCGTTGTAACACAACAAAATAACGGTCAAGGTAAAAATTACCTAGCTACATGTTTTGGCTTTTTCAAGTCATCATGAGGCAAAGCACATGATTACTAATTGTGTCTGAATATAGTAATAATGTGTTTTGCCTGATGATGGCTTTAAAATGCCGAAACATGTAGCTGGGTAATTTTAACCTTGACCGTTATGTTGTTGTGTTACGACGGACTCCAATAAAGAATTGAACACATACGTAGAATATTTTTTGTTGGAACATGCTGGAAAGCATCCACTTGGCAAAGCAAAAGTGGTGGAAGGAAGATATCAAACCAGATCTTGACAAAACTGGGTATAAGACTGTGAATCATGATGTGTCCACTGGTGGGCTTTGGTATTAGCAACATTCATCCTGGAAGGGTATGCTGAAAAGTAATACCTCTATAAGACAGTGGTGAAAATGTAGTTCTGTCCTGCCAGACTTACAGAAGTACAGGTACTCCTTGGTATATGCAAGTTGGAAACATGTTGTTTCATTTTAATGCAGTCAATTAATTTAGACCTATTAACACTGCTTGCTGGCCCATCAAGAGAGGTCAGAAGAAGGGGGGGATTAGGATGCTATGGAGGTGTGGAGGAGGAATGCAAAGGGAGAAGAGAAAATTCGGCCTGCCTGATGTCATTTATGTCATTGCACCCCCTGTGACTCCTTTTGGGAACACAACTAGTGCATTGACAAATACCTGTACATGAAATATGTCAGCTGTGTCTGGATTGCAGGAGTGGTTGTTTGAGAAGTAATTGTATAAAATAGGAAACAAAGTTCAAGGAAGGTAGCCATTTCTGTTTCAATGAAATTGCTGTTATGGAAAAGAAATCGGGAGTCATTACTTTCAGCATGCCCTTGTACAAGCTCTGTCACCAGGAGAAGACACATACACTTCCCAATGAAATATCCCACATTAATTGGAAATTTCATAATGTTAATTGAAATCCATATTTAAATACTGCTTAACCTCCAGTGGTGCCCTGCATACAGAGCACAGTTGCCATTGTATCACATCACTACCTGGAACACAGAATTCATATGGCAGCCATAACTTCTGTCTCTAACAGTGA